AAACCCGACAACCGAAAGCCGAACGCTGGTTTCTGAAAGCCGAACACTGGATGGCTTGGTTTTTGGTTTGGGCGAACACCAAGTGTTTTTAATGACTTAAACAAGTTTAAAACCATTTTTATGATGTAAGAAATGCAATGAGAGTTTTTAGCCTAAAGAGCCAAAGTGTAAAGATTGGGTCGGTCTTGATCACAATAAAGACCGACTCAATACTATGATTAAGGTCTTCGTTCTTGGTCTTCGTTTAGCTCTTGCTCTTATCTTTGTTCTTCGCCTTGTATATTCAATGTTTGACTTGATCACGGCGGTTTGGCATTATCAAAACCTGTTACAAAAACGAACACGGCTTTAGTACGAAAACGTGACAAGCCCGTGTTTCAACACACACCCAAGGCACAAGCCCAAAGTGTACCAACACTCCCCTGGGTGCCTGCGCCCACAGTGGTCGCAAATCGGGTTGCGAAACCCATCTCTGCTCTTGCCCTTCTTTTGCACGGACGCAGATGACTGAGCTGGGGCTGACTTCACCTTCTTGCTCTGGTGAGAGCTGCTCGGTGTTGCAAAGGACCTCTTGCCACTAGTCCCCGCCTTCTGGGGTGGAGGAGGACGGGATGGTGCTGCTGACGCCCCCTGCGCCTGCTCAACTTCAGCCTTCTTAATGAGAGCCGCATTCAGGTCCAACGCATTCTTGTACAACGCGTTGATGTCACTTCGAGGAGAAATGATCAGATGAGTCGAAAGTTCGGGACGTAAACCCTCCACGAAGCGTTTGCACCGCTTCTCCACGGTCGGTACGAGGTCTTGCCTGAACCCCGCGAGCTCGTCAAACTTCTGACGATACTCAGGCAGTGTGAGTTCACCCTGGGTGAACTTCAAGAACTCCTCCCGCTTCGCCTCGACAAAGTGCTCAGGAATGTACTCTTCATGGAAGAGTCGATCAAATGTGGCCCACTGCACGGGCTCCGGGACGTCCGCCCCCACACGCTTCCACCAGTCGTAGGCGGAATCCTGAAGTAATGCGACTGCGAGGTCGCCACGCTGCTCTTGCGGAACCCTCAGGTTACCCAATACCCGTATGGTTCGCTCAAACCACCATTTCGCGATCATGGGGTCGGCGATCTGATCGCCGAGAAATTCCTCAGCCCCGTTCTTCCGGAGCTTCTCGATGGTGACCACCGCCACTGGTTGCGGCGGTGGTGGCGGTGGTGGAACGTATGCTCCAGCCATCTGCTGGAGAAAGTTCATGAAGTTGGCCGCAACCTGCGGCTGAATGATAGGAATGGCTTCCGGAATAGGGCCCACGCCCGGGACCGCCTGCTCGGAGGCCTGCTGGGGTGTGAAGCTTGACGCTTCAGTGTGCACGCTCACGTGCTCAGGCTCTTCCTCCGGGACAGCCTGTCCGTCATTGCCGGCTGCTTGGCTCATTCTCTAAAGAAATAATTAAAATGAGAACTAACTACAATATGACATACATGTGATTAAAATAACGTTGTACCTTTCCCTAGGAGTGATGTGATGGGAGATGCGGATGTGGACTTTTGAAAAAAAATACCCTTTTGACCCAAAATGACAAAAATATTTTTTTTTTTACAAAACCGAACCTCTCTGATACCAAATTGTAACACCCGCCTTCTATGGACCCGGTTCACCCGCGACCCGACGGACCGGTAGGGTTACATGGGCAGACCGAGAACCGTCTGTTACAAAACATTATTGGTTATTTAATAAGAAAACGGTTAAGTTTTAATTAGTGAAGTAAATGCCAGGGAGTTACTCCCAAAACGTGTGTAATAAAAAGTGCAGAGTAAATGCGGAAGTAAATAAATGAGTCCAGTCCAAATTAATAGCGACAAAGGTGGGTTCATGCCCAAATGATTAATTAAGTTTATGAAAATAAATAAGAGCTCGTCCGTGCGCCACCCATCTCTCCATCGTCACTGCTCTCCAGGGTTTACACCTGCACCGTCATGTCTACTTGCGTGTAGCAAAGACAACTATGTTGGCCTTGAATGCCGTACCCCGTAACCATTTTGATGTGCCAAATAAGTCTTCCAATGCTACTAACATCATTTGCAGGATTAAACCAAACGCCAAAACCTCTATTAGCTTGTTTATCATCACCGAGATATACTCCTACGAGTTTAGAAATTGTTGTGTAAAGGTAATGATATATTTTAATGAGTTACTTATGCCCTTTCACTCAAAACTTAATTTTAAAATGACAAATATATTCTTAGTTGGGGTTATTTTGAAAACGGAACACGAAAAACGAGTTTTGGATTTTTACATAGGCCTAACGGTACCTGGCTACCGTGTACACGGCACCAGGGTACCGTCGGTAGGCTTGGGAAGGTTGGCCAGACCGTTTGAACCCAGATACCGCCAGAGCCGAACCAATTCTATGGCTTACACGGTACCCCCTAACGGTAGGCTATACCGTGTGTCACTGTACCTAGGTACCGGATGGTACTGACCCTACCGTGAAGGGTACCGGATCCGTTACAGCACTGTAGCAAATTGCCAATTTAAATTCAAATCACCCCTAATCACTTCCTAACGGCACTTAAGGTTAAAAATTCATATTTTAACATTCCAAACTCCTATATAAACCCCCTCTAAGTCTCATTTTAAAAACAACAACTTCCCAATTAATTCTAAAGCCTCCTTCTCTATTCTTGAGTGTTCTTAAAGTTTTGTTCTTATTTTTCTTACTCTTTTGAGTAAAAAACTTTCATCTTTTTATACACTCACACACAAGGGCATTTGTGTTTCATTATTTTATATCTTGCCTATAGGTTTTTGTTGTTGTTGATTTAATCTTTTGTTCTTCTCCTACCCAACTTAGATTTGTTATCATTTTGTTAGAGAAGCAATACCAATCTTTTTATTGATTTGTAAAAGGTGTGGATAGCCTCTAAATCCTCATTGTAAGGTTGAAGATAGCCTTAAAATCTTCAGTTGTAAACGGTTGAGATAGCCGTAGTAAAATCTCATTTGCTTATTGGCAAGGGTTGTTTGCCAAACCTCGTTTGAGTCTTCTTAGTGAAGCCAAACAAGTTAGTGGAGGTTAAATCCTTGAGGAGGAGCCTCGAGGTACTGGAGTAGGGAGTTCCCGAACCAGTATAAAATCGCCAGTGTCATATTTTTATCCTTTATATCCTTCTTGCTCTTTTTCCGCTACTACTTTGCGCATAAGTTTTTGTCTTCTACGAAAAATTTGCAAACACCCTAATTCACCCCCCTCTTAGGGTGTAAACCGACTTTCAAACTACACGCTCAGCAAAAGCTGAGGAGTGAATCTAACAAAAGAACATTAAGTGATAACCCATATGGCTATACACATATTAATACCTGTACTTAACGTACGGGAAAAACCACATGTTACTAATTGTTTAGTTTCCACCTGTTAGAGCTATTATAAATAACAAGGCGATTGGAACACACGTGATGATGATATGACTTGATGCATGACTTGAACTATCTGAGACACTCCTGACTTAGTCTCACTCGACAGGATCACCCCTGCACTCCGGTCATCATCTCCGATAACGAGCCGGGCACGACGAAGATGTCGCGGGTGGACTAGCAAAACCGGGTAATAGCCGTTGCCTGACTACTATGTACGTACACAAGCCCAACATGATGAAAACCCATTGGACCCCAAGGGTTCCTGGACGGGCCCACTGTAGTAGGCGCACGAAGTCCTCCCTACAGTGGTATGCACATGATGAAACCTAAGACATGCGTCTAGAATGAACATGATGGATGCTTGATATTTTTTCCTTTGGTAAATGCCGAGAATATATTAATTATATGACATTTAAAATAAATATTAACTTTTCATGCAAGAAACGATCAGATTCTGGGTCAACGGGCTCGTTCTACAAACTACCCGGAAGGCTGCCCGCAGGACGGTCGACCGTACCCTATCGGCGGTCGACCGTGGACTGCGTTATGGGGAAACTGGATGGCCGACGGTCCACCGTGGTCTTCCGTCGTGACCGGCGGTCGACCGTCACGGTGGTGACCGTCGGATTGGCCATGGGAACGGTCCACCATCCGTAGTGGCGGTCGACCGTCCCGAAGGCAGTCCGCTGTCCTTTGCTCTGTTTTGGTCCGTTTTGCTAATTTAACACCTAGATTCGTTTTAGAACAATAACATAACATTTATGAATATATTTCTAGGAATTCCTAGGCCAGAATTTATAGGTTTACGTAATGAACATTTTGATGACTAACCTACGAACATGCATGGATTCTACGTAGGTTGCGTACGATATTACTACGAATATAATGACATAGATTATAACTAAATGTTCTAGAATTAGTGGGGACAACTACTCACCTCTAAACGAAGGGGTTGATGGAACGAGATGAACGAATGGTGCTAACGAACAGACAAACGACGACTACGCTTCGCACGAACGGCCTAGCCCTTCTTTTCCTTCAACCTTGCACCCGCCGGAGCTTCGCCGGAGGTCCTCCTTGCTGCTGGTCTGGCCGAATGAAGGGGAGAGGAAGAGAGAGTGAGAGTGCTTCTTGGGAGTTACAAAGTGGAAAGACAAATGAAGGGAGAGATGGGGTTTTTAATTGTAGAGAAATGATTATGAAATAATGGTGATGGTAATGAATGGGTTAAGGGTGGCGCATGGAAGTAATTGGGGGTTACAAACTTTATTCTACTCCGTTATNCTGGCCGAATGAAGGGGAGAGGAAGAGAGAGTGAGAGTGCTTCTTGGGAGTTACAAAGTGGAAAGACAAATGAAGGGAGAGATGGGGTTTTTAATTGTAGAGAAATGATTATGAAATAATGGTGATGGTAATGAATGGGTTAAGGGTGGCGCATGGAAGTAATTGGGGGTTACAAACTTTATTCTACTCCGTTATGTAAAATCTGACCTGAGCGATACACGCTTTTTCCCCGAACGGATCCGAATTGAAATCCGTTTGCGTTTCTGAAATCAGACAGTCAAGATGAATTTAATGATATGATCAAATAATTTTTCTAAGAACTTTTCATTTTCCCCAACTCCGGTCCGGAACAGTAATTAATTATTTAAAACAATCAATTCTGTTAGACCGGGTTTTATGGTGTTACATGCCTTCTTAGTCTATGGCGAACAGGAAGAGCTCAGAGTAACTGGTTACACTGATGCAAGCTCCCAAACAGACAGTGATGACTATAAGTCACAGGCAAGCTATGTTTATTTTCTAAACGACCGAGTGGTATGTTAGAAGAGCTATAAGCAAGACACTACCGCAGATTCTACTACAGAAGTAGAGTACATGGCAGCTTCCGAAGCAGCGAAAGGTGTTTGGATAAAGAACTTCCTCACAGAACTTGGAGTTGTTCCAAGCAGTCGAGACCCCATTCCCTTGTTTTGCAATTACACTGGGGCCATTGCACAAGCTTAGGAACCACGGTCGCACTAGAAAGCCAAGCACATTGTAAGACACTATCACATAATATAAGAAATCGTAGAACGTGGAGGTGTAGAAATTTGCAAGATAGGAACAGATGACAATCTAGCATATCCACTGACCAAAGCTCTAGGAAGGCTTAATCACTAGGATCACACTTCATCCATGGGCGTTTGAGAAATGCATAATTGACCTTAATGCTAATGCGAGATTGTTGAATATATGTAAGCCCTAGAGGCCAACTAATGATTTGTATCTGGATTATTTCAAGAATAAAGGCTTTGAAGAATGTTTAAATAATCTCGGGTACTTTAGACATAGCTTCAGGTCATAGATTAGTGCTCTAGTAACATAGATGAGAACTACAATGTTCTGATTGTTAGACTATTACAAATATAGAGACTAGATCTAAATTATCCTTAGTCCAATATTATGATAATACGGACGTCATAATATATTAAGACTAATACATATAAGATGAGATAGTTGTGTCTCAGAGGCTATAGATAAGGTGTTATCTGAATCTATACGTAGGCAATCATATTGGATATACTCCTAGATTGACCAGCCATGAAAATACTATATGGGTATACCTTGAAATGTGTTAATAGTATTTTCATACGACCATTTATATAACTATCCTTAGACTTGAAGTCATTACTATTCTTGCTAAGAATAGCTACATGCTTCGTGATATAATTAATGCCATTTAAAATATTAGTGGACATATAATTATGTCTTGGGCATGTAGTAAAACTTAAGCAATGATGTGAATGATATAGACAAGATTTATCCCTTGCAGGAGGGATTTGAGCCACTGTCGGGAAAGGCCATATTCTAGTCAATTGGCCAAAGCGAATGAATGACCCAATTGCAGGAGCGATTTGAGCCACTGTCGGGAAAGGCCAGATTCTAGTCAATTGGCCCAAGCGTAAAGTAAAGGCCGTGAATTGTGCAAGGACGTGGAAAGATTAAGGGAAATATGGTGAACCACCATGATTGATGGGAGAGCGATAATGGTGAGCATTGTGCACACGATGAGTTCCCATTATGTATGTAACTGTAGGTAATATAAATAGAGGGAGAACCCTCCATTATAAGGCAAGTAAAAAAAGACTGAGACACAGTGATTAATAGGCATATTCTGAGATTTACCAATTATCACTTATCATTCGTTCATCTCTGCCATAGTTATTGCGCTAATTCCCATCATTAGTGCTTTCATTGAGAGCATACGTGTGAGAGATTGTGAGTTGAGAATATGGTCGGCCGAAGGACGAGAAACACTAGGCGCAGTGCTGCAAATTCTCAGCTGTCTTCAGCCACGCCAAGAGTTCTTGGACAACCAATCGTTACACAACATAATGAAAGGTAACCACGATTGGGAGGGTAGCGGAAATACAAAACTTTAATCTCCCAATAGTGATTACTAGCCCAAGAACACGTACTAAAACTATAGCTAGAGATAGAAAGTTATACCTTCTCCGGTAAAGTGGTATGAACGAGAAGTCGAGCAAAAAGTGTTGAAGGAGCAAACGTAGCCGTTCCAGCGTCCGGCCTCCAACTTTGACACACGAACAATCTCCGGAGTCTACTACAATCTTTATGCTAGTAAAGATTATAATAGTATATTTAATATAAACATTTAAGAGGGATAATATTAATCTTGTATGTTAAATAGTAGAAAATATATCAATAATATTTTAGAGAAAATATTATAATAATTTTCTACACCCAAAATAATTTTGGAAACAAAAATTATTCTTTCTCTCTCTTCTCCTTTGTTTTGCCGAAAAATGGTTGTCTTCAAAAGGGAAGATCAAATCATGTTTACAACAATGAAAGGAATAAAACATTCAATTGCAAAGCTCCAAAAGTACACACAAATAATGAATTGTAGTGGGAAGCAAAGCCCCCACATCTAACCCATCAATAACGTACGAATGGAAAAAGGAGGAAGAATTTAATTCTTCTCCTCTCAAATTTTCAATATTGTATTTTATTTGACATCAATAATTTTTATGATATAAAATAAAATACCCAAAATATTTTGAAACAAGTATATAAAATATACTTTAAAATAGTTTTTGTCAAAATAATTATTTTCATAATTAAAATGACACTCCAAAATAAAATGTACACAATATAATATATAATGTAACATATATATATATATATATATAAAAATATATATATATATATATATATATATATATATATCGGGGCTGGTTCAAGTGAGAATGCACCTTGGTGAAAGAAATAAGAATAAAATCTGGCCTTTGGATCTGATGCATCGTGCGGCTCAGATTGCATTCTGCACTCAAATTTTGAGATAGTGCATTTTCAAAGGATTATGGTACATTTCGACATGATGCATTTTCAAACCATCTTGGTGCACCTAATTTTGATGCAATCCTAACCCTTAGATCTCCCAATCTAATGCACCAGATTCATTCTTATTTCTTTCATTAGATTGCATTCTCACCTGAACCAAAATCTATATATATATATATATATATATATATATATATATATATATATATATATATGTACACGTTTATAAAAGTAACACATATATGTATATATACACACGTACATATAAATTATGTACACATATATTTATATATGTGAGTGGCGTGTGTAAAGTATATATATCTATATATATATAAAAGTCGTGTACAGTATGTATATATATATATATATATATATATATATACACACACACATATATATTATATTAAACATTTTATTTTGCTATTTTACAATATACAAATTAAATATTATTCCTTCTTATAATCTTACTCTTTAAATTGTCCAAAGTGTGTGACCCATATATGCACTTATAAAACTGGCCACAGTATTGACTTTACATCAATACTATAAGTAATAAGCGGTATCTAGCAACACATTATTACCCCCAGATTATAAGTTCAGACGTTTGCTCCGTCAAAACCTTTCTATGACTAAGACTTTGTATAACGTAGATCCTTTTGTCCCAATGTCTTAAGAGGGATAATATTAATCTTGTATATTAAATAGTAGAAAATATATCAATAATATTTTAGAGAAAATATTATAATAATTTTCTACACCCAAAATAATTTTGGAAACCAAAATTATTCTTTCTCTCTCTTCTCCTTTGTTTTGCCGAAAAATGGTTGTCTTCAAAAGGGAAGATCAAATCATCTTTATAACAATGAAAGGAATAAAACATTCAATTGCAAAGCTCCAAAAGTACACAGAAATAATGAATTGTGGTGGGAAGCAAAGGCCCCACATCTAACCCATCAATAACGTACGAATGAAAAAAGAGGAAGAATTTAATTCTTCTCCTCTCAAATGTTCAATAGTGTATTTTATTTGACATCAATAATTTTTATGATATAAAATAAAATACCCAAAATATTTTGAAACAAGTATATAAAATATACTTTAAAATAGTTTTTGTCAAAATAATTATTTTCATAATTAAAATGACACTCCAAAATAAAATGTACACAATATAATATATAATGTAATATATATATATATATATATATATATATATATATATATATATATATATATATATATATATATATATATATATATATATATATATATATATATATATCTGTGTGTGTACACGTTTATAAAAGTAACACATATATGTATATATATACACGTACATATAAATTATGTACACATATATTTATATATGTGAGTGGCGTGTGTAAAGTATATATATCTATAAATATATATATATATATATATATATATAGAAAAGTCGTGTACAGTATATATATATACATATATATTATATTAAACATTTTATTTTACTATTTTACAATATACAAATTAAATATTATCCTTTCTTATAATCTTACTCTTTAAATTGTCCAAAGTGTGTGACCCATATATGCACTTATAAAACTGGCCACAGTATTGACTCTACATCAAGTAATAAACGGTATCTAGCAACACATTATTACCCCCAGATTATAAGTTTAGACGTTTGCTCCGTCAAAACCTTTCTACGACTAAGACTTTGTATAACGTAGATCCTTTTGTCCCAATGTCTTAACTTAGTGCAAGGGATATAAAATATCCAACTTGTAGCCATTAAGTTATTTACTGATTAACAAGTCTGACTGATGAGAACAGATGTCTAAACTCATCTCAGCATGGCCATGCATTTCCTCAGTTATACTTATCAGTGGGCCCCTACAAGACATTATTCTGCTTGAGTAGCAGTGAGAAATTCTTTGTACCCAATCTACGTCTTCGAATATGTGCAGCGGCATGCCCAATACAAAGCCTGTGTACCATCCTTATTTCATACGGCTTAGGACAATGAATCAAAGCATGCGGGTTCACACATTCGAAGAACGTAATACTTCAAGTCTGAGGATCGTTATACCAATAGTCGCATTAAGGACACTTAGAGCATAGACTAAAAGTCTAGGCAATGCCTTTAAGGTGGGTCAGGTCTGGCATCCTATTATTAACGATAATATCTGCCCGAGAGTAGATGCGTACACTCCGACATTGA